TGATCGGGGACGGGAGGTCACTAGGATGTTGTGTGATAAGAGACTGGATGTCACTAGGATGTTGTGTGATCAGAGACAGGAGGTCACTAGGATGTTGTGTGATAAGAGACTGGAGGTCACTAGGATGTTGTGTGATCAGAGACAGGAGGTCACTAAATTGTTGGATTATAAGTGATAGGAGATAAAAAGGCTTGAGTGTCATCGAAAAGCTATTATTTGGTAACAAATTTCGATAAGCTATGAATATATTACTTCTATTATCTTAGCATCTCACATATAGCTCTATGATATCGTTAAGTTTGATCTTTTAACAGCATACTGATCTGTAAGATTTCAGTTTCCAGACCGACTCATGTTGACAGCTGATCTGTTCGATAACGAGCAAGGTGAAGCAACATCCTTTCAATTAGTCTCCGAATACTTGCACTGCACGATAGAACTAATTACCATGGTATTTTTGTCCTTTATTTCTTCCTAACCCCTCCACAAACTATATGATTGACACGAACACAACTCAATAGACTTTATACTTTAATGACTATCCCTTGTTGCCGCACGAAATCAACCCATACCTAAATCCATTCGTTCGTAGTATTAGTGCGTGCAGTACATATATTTTGTATGCAGTCTTAATTGAGTCGGTACAGCGTGCAATTTAAAAATTACATGCCAGGGTAGTGAAATAACCTGTATGACTTAGTGCAACACCAGATTCGGAAATATTGACTATGGACGTTATATATAGGTGTTATAGCCAGTACGATTAGGCCCAACAATGTTCACGATAGCATTCATTATCACGTGTATCATTGGTAAAGATGTACTTCAAAGCTTGTACCATGTGAGGATAATATCGAATCCCTGTATCAAGTATGCATTGGCAGCGCCGTAATCACTAGCATATAATAGTGCTTATCCAGTGTGCCTCGGCGCAGCGCCGTGGTCACTAAGATGTAGTAATATCATCTACACAGTGTACCTCGGTGTAGCGCTGTAGTCGCTAAGATCTTAGTGTACCTCGGCGCAGTCGTTAAGATCATAGTGTACCTCGGTTCAGCACTGTAGTTGCTTAAATCATAGTGTACCTCGGTGCAGCGCTGAAGTGGCTGAAATCATAGTGTACCTCGGTTCAGCGCTGAAGTGGCTGAAATCATAGTGTACCTCGGTTCAGCGCTGTAGTCGCTAAGATCATAGTATACCTCGGTGCAGCGCTGTAGTGGCTAAGATCATAGTGTACCTCGGTTCAGCGCTGTAGTCGCTAAGAGCATAGTGTACCTCGGTGCAGTCGCTAAGATCCTAGTGTACCTCGGTGAAGCGCTGTAGTGGCTAAGATCATAGTATACCTCGGTGCAGTCGCTAAGATCATAGTGTACCTCGGTTCAGCACTGCAATCGCTAAGATCATAGTGTACCTCGGTGAAGCGCTGTAGTCGCTAAGATCATAGTGTACCTCGGTTCAGCGCTGTAGTGGCTAAGATCATAGTGTACCTCGGTTCAGCGCTGTAGTGGCTAAGATCATAGTGTACCTCGGTTCAGCGCTGCAGTCACTAAGATCATAGTGTACCTCGGTTCAGCACTGTAGTCGCTAAGATCATAGTGTACCTCGGTTCAGCGCTGTAGTCGCTAAGATCATAGTGTACCTCGGTGAAGCGCTGTAGTGGCTAAGATCATAGTGTACCTCGGTGCAGTCGCTAAGATCATAGTGTACCTCGGTTCAGCACTGCAGTCGCTAAGATCATAGTGTACCTCGGTTCAGCACTGTAGTGGCTAAGATCATAGTGTACCTCGATGAAGCGCTGTAGTGGCTAAGATCATAGTGTACCTCGGTTCAGTCACTAAGATCATAGTGTACCTCGATGAAGCGCTGTAGTGGCTAAGATCATAGTGTACCTCGATGAAGCGCTGCAGTCACTAAGATCATAGTGTACCTCGGTTCAGCACTGTAGTGGCTAAGATCATAGTATACCTCGGTGCAGTCACTAAGATCATAGTGTACCTCGGTTCAGCGCTGTAGTGGCTAAGATCATAGTGTACCTCGGTGCAGTCGCTAAGATCATAGTGTACCTCGGTTCAGCACTGTAGTCGCTAAGAGCATAGTATACCTCGGTAAAGTGCTGTAGTCGCTAAGATCATAGTGTACCTCGGTGAAGCGCTGTAGTGGCTAAGATCATAGTGTACCTCGATGAAGCGCTGTACTGGCTAAGATCATAGTGTACCTCGGTTCAGCGCTGCAATCGCTAAGATCATAGTGTACCTCGGTTCAGCGCTGCAATCGCTAAGATCATAGTATACCTCGGTGCAGTCACTAAGATCATAGTGTACCTCGGTTCAGCGCTGTAGTGGCTAAGATCATAGTGTACCTCGGTGCAGTCGCTAAGATCATAGTGTACCTCGGTGAAGCGCTGTAGTCGCTAATGTCATAGTGTACCTCGGTGAAGCGCTGTAGTGGCTAAGATCATAGTGTACCTCGGTGCAGCGCTGTAGTGGCTAAGATCATAGTGTACCCCGGTTCAGCGCTGCAATCGCTAAGATCATAGTATACCTCGGTGCAGTCACTAAGATCATAGTGTACCTCGGTGCAGTCGCTAAGATCATAGTGTACCTCGGTTCAGCACTGTAGTCACTAAGAGCATAGTGTACCTCGGTTCAGCGCTGTAGTGGCTAAGATCATAGTGTACCTTGGTAAAGCGCTGTAGTCGCTTAGATCATAGTATACCTCGGTAAAGCGCTGTAGTGGCTAAGACCATAGTTTACCTCGGTTCAGCGCTGTAGTCGCTAAGATCATAGTGTACCTCGGTGCAGCGCTGTAGTGGCTAAGATCATAGTGTACCTCGATGCAGCGCTGCAGTCGCTGAGATCATAGAGTACCTCGGTGAAGCGCTGTAGTCGCTAAGATCATAGTGTACCTCGGTGAAGCGCTGTAGTCGCTAAGATCATAGTGTACCTCGGTGCAGCGCTGTAGTGGCTAAGATCATAGTGTACCTCGATGCAGTCGCTAAGATCATAGTGTACCTCGGTTCAGCACTGTAGTCGCTAAGATCATAGTGTACCTCGGTGCAGTCGCTAAGATCATAGTGTACCTCGGTTCAGTCACTAAGATTATAGTGTACCTCGGTTCAGCGCTGTAGTGGCTAAGATCATAGTGTACCTCGGTTCAGCACTGTAGTCGCTAAGAGCATAGTGTACCTCGGTGAAGCGATGTAGTCGCTAAGATCATAGTATACCTCTCGGTTCAGCACCTGTGCAGTCGCTAAGATCATAGTGTACCTCGGTTCAGTCACTAAGATTATAGTGTACCTCGGTTCAGCGCTGTAGTGGCTAAGATCATAGTGTACCTCGGTTCAGCACTGTAGTCGCTAAGAGCATAGTGTACCTCGGTGAAGCGATGTAGTCGCTAAGATCATAGTATACCTCGGTTCAGCACTGTAGTCGCTAAGAGCATAGTGTACCTCGGTTCAGCGCTGCAATCGCTAAGATCATAGTGTACCTCGGTTCAGCACTGTAGTCGCTAAGAGCATAGTATACCTCGGTGCAGTCGCTAAGATCATAGTGTACCTCGGTTCAGCGCTGCAGTCGCTAAGATCATAGTGTACCTCGGTTCAGCACTGTAGTCGCTAAGAGCATAGTGTACCTCGGTTCAGCGCTGCAATCGCTAAGATCATAGTGTACCTCGGTTCAGTCACTAAGATTATAATGTACCTCTTTGAAACGCTGCAGTCGCTAAGATCATAGTGTACCTCGCTGCAGCGCTGCAGTCGCTAAGATGGAACACGCCATACATAACGTTTCTCGGCGTGTGCCGTAGTCATTAACATGCAAATCTGAGATACCTCGTTGCATTTTAAATCTAATCAATAGGGTCTTGTGTATTTGGGAAAATGAATAAAAATATAAGAAAAAAACACACACACATCTAATACCTTGTGTACTTCGGAGCATTCCCGTACTTAGTAACACGTGATAACGGTCATGGTCAAGCTTTCAACCTCAGCGAAGCGCCGTGCTCAATGACACGTAACATACTATACCCACGTTCCTCGGTGGTAACCTGTAAACTTCTATAGGCAATATCAGCGCAGAAATGAAGAATGTTACTCGTCACATTATTGAACAGAAAGTTCTGTTTTAGCTAAAACATATCGGGTTTTTTTTTCTAAAAGCCTAATGAAAAAAATCGGGCCATTTTGATACCCAGTATTTACCTGTACATAGTTCCGTCCAATAGTTATCACGCTGCTTAAAGCTATGATAAAATAACATTCATGTTGGACTTTGACGGTAAAGGAACATTAGTATATGGGGATGAGACATCGGTGATAATAAGAAATCCTATACGTTCTTGGTTGAATTACAGCAAAGTATTCCACATGATGTATGCCTGTCATTGTGGAATACCAATGGAGAGCTGAAAGCATTGTTGATTTAGCTTACTGCCATTCGGCACAAGGTAATATTGCAACTGTTTCCATTGCTTCCTTTCCATATAGAATTGTAATCCAGGGCACAAGGATGACTTTTTACACGTGCTGTGTTGTTATAGTAACGTGATGGATTCCGTATTTCTTTTTGCTCATTTCTAGCTGCAGCAGTTGTTATTAACTTCAGGGTTTTTTTTAAATGTACAAACTATTAAATGATTCTGGGTGAATTTTCAGTTTCCTTGGGGCTGTCTGTGTGATATATACCTTAGACTGAATTAACGATATATAGGCCTTGACCTTGCTTGATGGTATATTTGTACTCACAATAAAACCTGATGACATTACACACGGCCATGTAGACGACAGATGAGATGATAGGTAGAATGAAAGATACGATAACTTACACACTGCCATGAAGACGGGAAAGGAGACGATATGTAGACAGAGGTGTACGATGAATTTACATAGCAGGACATGTAAGTAGAGAAGATGATATACACGATATGTACGACGATTGTACACACCAGCATGGCGACGACAGATGAGACGATATGTAGACAGATGTGTACGATGACGTTACCTGCTAATATGTAGATGACAGCGGAGATGAGCGTCTTGATGTCCTGGCGTAGGTTGCCGAGCACACTGAGGACTGCAGCTATGGTAAGAAGAATCAGCGATATCACAGGAATCATGGCTGCCACTCGGTTGGACTCTAAAAACCAACGACAAGTTGTCATTGAAAAAACCAATCTCACAAAAGTTCAGCTTGCAATTTGAGTTATGAGTTATATTATTTGACATAGAAGATAGTCTTTGTTTATTAAGGAATAATAATATATTTCCTTGAGTGGGATGGAATGTTTGGTATTTTTCGCGGGAGTTTCCATCCCACGAGAATCAAAGAATATAATATTTATTACTATTGTATTGATGTAAGTTTGAGTCAGCCACTCTGCATATATCTGATGTTTGTATATATTTTTCATAACTCCGTCGGATACATAGTTTTATATCTACATGTTAGACACAAATCTGCAAATAATTGAGTTTAAGATAAAGTCAGTAAATACAATACATCAAATGCGTTTGTGATGAAGTTCACCTTAACCAGGATCATCACATTACAGTAAAGTGAAAGTGTACTACCAATCATGGCTATCTATACCAGTACCCTGGGATAACTGATACTTAACCACAAATGCTGAGAGAGAGAGAGAGAGAGAGAGGGGGGGAGGGGGGGAAGAGAGAGAGAGAGGAAAGAGATAGAGATAGGGGGGAGGAGAGAGAGAGAGGATCGTGACCGAAATAAAACCTTCGAGTACTCAAAATGTACTGATGGACATGTATAAATAAATCTTTATTTCCTTCACTCGAGTAATCTTCATAACCAAATGATGATATGAAGGTTTCGGAACTACTGTATTTGTTTATAATTAAATTTATGGCAAATGAAAAGGAAATAGTAAGCATTCTCATTAGTATAACCGAAAGCTCAATTTGGGGTGTTGATTAGCATTAAAGATATCATCATTTCAGGTCTGCAATTATTGCGGAGTCTTCTTAGTATAACATTTAACTTTCGATCGCCGAACAAGTAGTAATCCGATACCTTAAAAAATTCATTTTGGTTTTGGAGGCATTTATTGAAACTCGTGTAGGAAGGTACATTTTTGGTTTTAGAGTCAAGTGCTTTCCATGACATTATAGTGGAAGGGATAAACGAGTTCGATGAAGACTGTAACGAAAAATTGGAATTCTCAGAGTTTCTTAAATTATATGGGGTTTAAGTAGATACTAGAGGAGGGAGAATGTCTGTCAAGGAGATTGTCTGTTAGGTAAGAGCGGATCATGTTGTTATACAGTATATAGAACAGTTGAAGTTTGCGTCAGGTACGTCGTTGAGACAAAGCTTCCCGATCTGTTTCAAAGTAGAGATTCCCTACTACTGAATGGAGAAAGACCAGTTACTATACCCGCTGCTTCAAGCTTAAGTTTTTCAGGTTTGTTAGCATCGACAATTTTTCATCCGTCACAAACTTCGCAGCAGTGTTCCAGAAGCGGGAGTATATAGGGTAGATAGATGATATTTTAAGTTTTGCCATTTAAGATAAATTTAAACTTTCCAAGTATTCCTATTTGCTTACTAACACCTTTACAAATGTTATCAATATGATACGTCCATTTACAGTTTGCACACAGGAAAATACCAAGATGTTTAGGATATTCACTAAAATCAATATGAACATTATTAAAAATCATACTAACATCCAGCTCATCACTGGTATTTGAGATCAGGAGAGCCTCGGTTTTATTGGAAATAAGCTTGACAAGTCAGTTCTCGGCAAAATTAGGATTTTTTTCAAGATCTCTATTAGTGATCGTTTCAAATTCAGCAGCAGAACAAGGAGAGACTGTTCGGGAAGTATCGTCAGCAAGCATTCCTAAATTCAAATTGCCAGTTGGTGTTTTGTTACAGTTAATTGATTTTGAGATAATCAACATTCTTATAACACGAGATCATGCGTTTAAATTTCTTAGTAAGAAATATGTTCAGTTGATTAACAATAGTAGCGCCATGATTCGAAATACCCATGTCGATTTCAATAACACCGGAAAAGCCAACCATGCGTGAATCACTCACAAGCACGAGATCAGGGAGAGAAGCACGGGATCTGGGAGAGAAGCACGTGTATTGCCTACCCGAATAAGTTGCGGCATCACATTAGATAACACGTACATGCGGATAATACATTAAGTTTAGGACGAGTTTCAACCAGCAATAATTACATGAGTATTTTCATCTAGTGCAGCCTGTATGGAGTTTTCAAATTGTTCCTGGAATGGATTTACACAATCGTCAGGTCTATATACTGTACAAATTATATATATATGAGGAGTTATTGAAAGAAATATCAAGGTCAAAGCGACGCGGAGCAGAAATTAGATTTGAGATATAAACAACAACACCTCCATCCTGTGAGTGTTCACGATCTTTCCGCAAAGGATTACTATTAAAACCACAAAATGCTATTTTTTCATCAGAGACACTTTTGTTTAGATGGGATTCCGTGATACATACCACGTGAAATTCGTCTGCAATATTTTCAAGGTGAGTCAACTTATGTCTTAGACAGCGTATGTTTAAGTGGAAATTGGTCAATACTTCAGAGGACACATCAGGCCCGGGGTGTTCATGTATGTCCATACATATTAATAATAAAGGTTAGAGAATACAGATAAAGGTAATACTTTTGAAAAAAGCTTAGAATGAGGTAAAAGAGGATATAATATTGCGTTGTCCTAAATGATGGGAAGGATTTCAAACAGACTTTGAAATTCGACAGATACAAAATTAAAATTAATCTTGAATACCGATGACGTACTCGAGTAGTTATGGTGTGTTCGCGTGTAAAAATACCAACCGCCACCATGAGTGCGGTTGGCTGGTTGGTTGACAGGGTTTCCGGCTCCGTGACTCCTCCCGTGTCCAGGCATCCTCTCATCGAAGAACGTCGGTGTTCAGGCGACGTGAGGGGCGACCTGCGGGGGCGACCTGCATCCCCTCAGTGGGATGGGACCGTCTGTAGCGGTGATCGTTTGATTATACTAGTTTACCTTGTGTGCTACAATATCATTACCCATTATAAATGACCGTCATGGTTGGTTGGCTGTTGGCAAAAGACAAGCACACGTGCATATATAAACAGAGCCAACGAGCTGATGGTAACGGACACAGAAAAGTAAACAGGGAAGGCAAGGGAACATCCAATCTGGATTCGTAGTAAGTAAAAGTATTTGTGTCGTGATATACATATGTCGTGCAATGTAAATAAACTGCTACCCGATGATATACACAATGACCCTTTAAGACGTATTCGACATTCACGGAGGACCTTGATGGTGTATAAAGCAGTCCCTGATGACATTCACGGAGGACCTTGATGGTGTATAAAGCAGTCCCTGATGACATTCACGGAGGACCTTGAAGGCGTATATAGCAGTCCCTGATGACATTCACGGAGGACCTTGAAGGCGTATATAGCGGTCCCTGATGACATTCACGGAGGACCTTGATGGTGTATAAAGCAGTCCCTGATGACATTCACGGAGGACCTTGAAGGCGTATATAGCGGTCCCTGATGACATTCACGGCGGACCTTGAAGGCGTATATAGCGGTCCCTGATGACATTCACGGAGGACCTTGAAGACGTATATAGCGGTCCCTGATGACATTCACGGCGGATCTTGAAGGCGTATATAGCGGTCCCTGATGACATTCACGGCGGACCTTGAAGGCGTATATAGCGGTCCCTGATGACATTCACGGCGGACCTTGATGGTGTATAAAACAGTCCCTGATGACATTCACGGCGGACCTTGATGGTGTATAAAGCAGTCCCTGATGACATTCACGGCGGACCTTGATGGTGTATAAAGCAGTCCCTGATGACATTCACGGCGGACCTTGATTGCGTGTAAAGCAGTCCCCGATGACTTCCACAACGGCCCTTTATGACGTCTACAACAGTCCCGGCTGACATTAACGGCGGGCCTTGACGTATCTTTTATATAATTGTATTTTGGTATTGAGGTCTAAAGGTCATTTTCCAAGAGACTATTACTCGAAACCATGTTGCCTGATAGTATTTGTATTGGCAAATGCTGACCATCAAAGATAGAGAAGGACACAGTTTGCCAAAAGAACGTCCCAATTTCATCTCGCGAGAGTACGAATTGGCTCCCGATCAAAGAACATTGCGCTGGTCTACACAAATTTGACACTGCACGTGATGTTCAGAAATGACAGAAAACCCAGGAGGACGGGTCGACGAGAATTAAATTGCAGGATCAACCGGATTGTGAACCTGATTAGTAATTATATTTACAGTATACAATCAATGGTTTAAAGACGACAGAAATTACATTACATTTGTCTGTTACATGAAATGGAGGCCGACCTCTGTGGTAAACATCCGATATAATGTACGACAACGCGAAGTCGACACGTAGGAGGGGACTGGTGAGGTTATCGGAGACAGCCGCCCACGTACTGTATTGTCATATATATCATACAATATAACTGGTAATGTAAGATGACTATACTTTGATCGAATCACTCAAATACCAATGTTTTTATTGAATTTGTAAAACGTTACTGCTCTTAAACAGTTGTTAATATGAACCTATGAACATTTGAACACCAAACTTGTACTTCTGTAAGGTTTCCCCAGCGAGTCACCATGTATCTACACAGCACTGGCCTTCATCATGATGTTTGGAACATGGATAGCAACTGTGTCCTGTGACAGAGCTTGTATCATCAGCTTTCTATCAATCACCGCTAGTATTTTGTGTAGGCTGTGATGCAAAATTTATGCTTGAAGTAAGATTTCTAGTCTTCTTAACCAAAACCATATACCTACATGTATATATTCATAAGTAACAATGTTCTTCAGTTTACGGTCTAATTTACTTACTTATAATGGCAAAAGACGTTTCCTGTCCCTCAACACGCCCAGGATCTCCAAAGTAGCTCACGGTCAAACACGGCGGGGCAACACTTCCTGAAATACAAACACCAGTGTTTAGTTTAAAATGCCATTTTTAGTCAGGATACATGTATGACATCAATAAAAAACAAACGTAACCCCAACCCCAAGTTATATCAAATTATCACACATTCAGTTTTGTTTATCGTGCACATTTTTCGATAACCCAGACTTTAGGTAAAGGCTATTGGCATTTAATCGCAGAAAGATAAAGGCAAAATATGTGGCAGCGAAACGTGTGTCAGTTGAATCTGTTTTAAGTATAGATTTGTATGAATTCAACCTAGTACATTTGTTTTTTTCAACTGGCTGTTTAAAGTCGGTTTTTGTCATTCAAACAATAGCGTAGCGGGTGTCGCCAACTCTGTTTGGTTTTTGTTACTTTAGAGCTCGGCGTCTGAGACACATTTAATACATTCTGTTCATTTCTTCAATTTATAAGTAAGGCAACGTTTACGACCACGTGCTTGTCTGTAATATGGGAAAAAAACTATGATGCAATTTACATCCGCACATAAAGCGGAAATGATGCTGATCCGAAAACATCAACAGAATTACATCCAACAATTACCCGGACAATAATTCAATAAGGACCGCCTAACGTCGAGCTCTCCAACCTTACAGTCACAACAAAGCACTAAATTATCGACGATGCCAACAACAGAGGGCACCACAAGGTGATTATTGGTCACGACACCTGGTCATGACTGGTCATGACACCTGGTGATGACGCCACGACGCCTGGCGATGACGCCACAACTCCTGGTAATGACTGGTCACGTCACCTGGTTATGACTGGTCATGACGCCTGGTGATGACGCAAAGACGCCTGGTGATGACTGGTCATGACACCTGGTGATGATTGGTCACGACGCCTGGTGATGACGTCACGATACCTGGTGATGACTGGTCATGACACCTGGTTATGACTGGCCACGACACCTGGTGATGATTGGTCACGACGCCTGGTGATGACGCCACAAAGACTGGCGATGACGTCACGACGCCTGGTGATGACTGGTCATGACACCTGGTGATGATTGGTCACGACGCCTGGTGATGACTGGTCATGACACCAATGTGATGTGTCAATTAATTGGCAATGTGATGTCACTTATCCTGATGTCTTGCACACGGTCATAATCGAATGTCAATACGTCTATAGTCATAGCAAGGGAAATCCTGTATTTGCTAATTTCCTTGGATCTCATTGTTGACTATAACCCTTTCCGGAGTGTATCTTTTGTATCTCACTGTTAATCACATGTAATTCACGCAAGAACATCGATTCAAGTATTAATGAACCCATGATATTTGTTTGTCTCCGGGTGCCGCTTAGTATTGTAATCATTCTTCATACAATCTGAGCAAGATAAACAGCACACCACAATACGAAATTGGGTTTCCGTGTTGTGTACCTTATCGATGTCATTAGTTTGAATTTTATAGGATTCAAAGTACTTTTTGATGTCGTTGATAGTGATTTCTACAATCTACTAAACCACCAAACAAGCACGTTAAGGATAACTATAGTCATGTACCTCCACGTGTCGACTATTACTGACGGTGAATATACTTTGTCAGCCAAAACTGAGGTATTCGTTAGGTTAATGTCACTATCCTCGAGTGTTGACTGGAATGTCGCATAACAACTGACATTAAAACGTTAGAGTATGTTAGTTTCAAGTTATACTTCATCACACAGGAACAAATGGGTTGGAGCATCAGAAACATCACTATTAACAAACACAAGCACACTTTGCTTACCAAATATCACTACCGAACACAGCACACTCCGCTTCCCAAATATCACTACCGAACACAGCACACTCCGCTTACCAAATATCACTACCGAACACAGCACACTCCGCTTACCAAATATCACTACCGAACACAGCACTCTCTGCTTACCAAATATCACTACCGAACACAGCACACTCCGCTTCCCAAATATCACTACCGAACACAGCACACTCCGCTTACCAAATATCACTACCGAACACAGCACACTCCGCTTCCCAAATATCACTACCGAACACAGCACACTCCGCTTACCAAATATCACTACCGAACACAGCACACTCCGCTTCCCAAATATCACTACCGAACACAGCACACTCCGCTTCCCAAATATCACATCCGCTTTACCAAATATCACTACCGAACACAGCACACTCCGCTTCCCAAATATCACTACCGAACACAGCACACTCCGCTTCCCAAATATCACTACCGAACACAGCACACTCCGCTTCCCAAATATCACTACCGAACACAGCACACTCCGCTTCCCAAATATCACTACCGACCACAGCACACTCCGCTTCCCAATTATCACTACCGACCACAGCACACTCCGCTTATCAAATATCACTACCGAACACAGCACACTCTGCTTACCAAATATCACTACCGAACACAGCACACTCCGCTTACCAAATATCACTACCGAACACAGCACACTCCGCTTCCCAAATATCACTACCGAACACAGCACACTCCGCTTCCCAAATATCACTACCGAACACAGCACACTCCGCTTACCAAATATCACTACCGAACACAGCACACTCCGCTTCCCAAATATCACTACCGAACACAAACCTGAAGAACATGTCACATTACCAAATATCATAGCAATTATCACTACCGACACAGCACACTCCGCTTCCCAAATATCACTAAACACAGCACAATCCGCTTACCAAATATCACTACCGAACACAGCACTCTCAGCTTACCAAATATCACTACCGAACACAGCACAACCAAATAAGAACACACATGTTACCAAATTCACTACCGAACACAGCACATTTAATGAGCACACTCCGTTTACACAAGATTTAATATCACCTTGATTAATGCTTCAGTGTCTTTATGGTATTTTCACAAAGTTCCTTGTCACAAACTCCGCTTACCAAATATCACTACCGAACACAGCACACTCTCTGCACACTCCGCTTACCAAATATCACTACCGAACACAGCACACTCCAACAACTTCTTCCAAATATCACTACCGAACACAGCACACGCTTGACCAAATATCACCGAACACAGAGCTTACCAAATATCACTACCGAACACAGCACATCCGCTTCCCAAATATTTACCGAACACAGCACACTCCGCTTACCAAATATCACAGCACACTCCGCTTACCAAATATCACTACCGAACACGGCACACTCCGCTTACCAAATATCACTACCGAACACAGCACTCTCTGCTGACCAAATATCACTACCGAACACAGCAACTCCGCTTCCCAGATATCACTACTCCGCTTCCCAAATATCAAGAGACATGTGTCTGTCACACTTCTGTCAAATATCACCGAACACAGCACACTTGTCCAAATATCACTACCGCGGACAAACAGGCACACTCTCGCTTCCCAAATATCACTAAAACACAGCATTTTCACTAACCAAGCTTACCAAATATTTGAACACAGCACTTTCCGGCTTTCAAATATTAACATGACACTTGCTGTTAATAGGACGTAAAAAAACAATATCACTAATAAACACAGCACACTCCGCTTCCCAACCGCTTTATCACTACCGAACACAGCACACTCTGTCACTTACCTTAAATATCACTACCGAACACAGCACACTCCGCTTATTTTAAATAATTGTATTTTTATCACTAAAACGCAACTTTATTTGTCTATAAGATTTACACTGAACACAGGTTGGAGCTTCCCAAATATCACTACCGAACACGGCACACTCCGCTTCCCAAATATCACTACCGAACACGGCACACTCCGCTTACCAAATATCACTACCGAACACAGCACTCTCTGCTTACCAAATATCACTACCGAACACAGCACTCTCTGCTTACCAAATATCACTACCGAACACAGCACACTCCGCTTACCAAATATCACTACCGAACACAGCACACTCCGCTTACCAAATATCACTACCGAACACAGCACACTCCGCTTACCAAATATCACTACCGAACACAGCACTCTCTGCTTACCAAATATCACTACCGAACACAGCACACTCCGCTTACCAAATATCACTACCGAACACAGCACTCTCTGCTTACCAAATATCACTACCGAACACAGGACGTAAAAAAACAATAAACAATAAACATTCTAGACTTTTCTGGGCTTTCTTCAGGACCGCTTTATGGTGGTTCTAAACCGTTTTATTGTCACTTACCTTACACATTCCTCAAAGGACTGTCATTTTATTTTAAATATACAATTGTATTTTTGTATTTTTAATCGCACATTAACCAACTTTATTTGTCTATAAGATTTACAGTGACCATAAATTGTATTTTTTTAAAATCCGTACCGATTACTTACTGCTACAATAAATGAAGGCGTTGATCATGTAATGAACCATTGTCCTGTTTTGATAAACACAGTTCTGGGCGAGATAATTGTCACTTGTAGCAACAAATGGCAACAACAAAACGCCATCAATCTAGGCCCCCTCCCTAATAGCTACATCGACCAGTTTGTAAGCAGACGGGACACTTTTTGCAGCATGTTCGTGCCTTAGTTTCTGTCGCTTCGGTGTAGCAATAATAGCAATTTCGCCGTTTTGAAACCGAGGGCGGTGTCTGTTTAGATATTAAGTACAGGGCAAAGTGAAGGTTTTTTGGAAACAATGAGCATCAGATGGACCAGGATGATAAATGGATGAACTGCACAGCCAATATGATACATGTAGGTCTCAGAAACTCGACATATTACGGCCAATTCAGTACTGACTCATCCCAATACATTGCTGTGGGAAAAAGTTATTTCACAATTTATGGTAAGTGTTTTCTCGGACACTGTCCGAAGAGGTGAAACGGTCACAATTGAGTTGACACCTCTATTGGACCATACCTACTCCTAATGGTGCCGAATCGCGTGTTAGATCAGGATGGAATGCCGGGGCACCACTTACTGTTTTTGATTGGTGCTGATTGTGTGAGCGCCATTGTCGGACTGGCCAGTGCCCGTAACTGGATCTGATACCTCCGACCAT